AAGAGTTAAGATTGTGATTATAACTAAGCCTCAGCTTAACTGAGTTCAATGCCGATAATGGCTCCCCCAGATCAACCCCGTTGACGGGTGATAGCTGATGGCAAAAAAGATCGATAGAACTAGCTGAGATACACGCAAAGCGAAGGACCCGGATGGTGTGGTGGTAAAGTGCGCTGCTCCCCGGTAAGGACAACAGCGCGTGTTCGTTCTCCATTGCATGCACCTGTGGTCCGGAGTTTTGCAAGTATCTCAGCATTTCATACTATGCAAGTAGTTTCATAACAAGACGGTGGTGGATCCTAACATTGGCTTACTCTTGGCTTGGCTTCCTGATAGAAACGCCGGACTCCTTCTCAGCTTGGGAGACCCTGCCAGAGGAATCCTCCACTGTACATCGCAGTCCGACACTCAAGAACACCTCCCAGCCACAATAAGAAGGTAAGCCGTTGGAAGAAATTGTCAAAGATAAGATTTAAAATGAGGAATTTAATGTAGGATTACCTCAAAAAAGACATCACAGAACGTTTTCGCATTAAGACCTCACAATGAACTGAGAGAACTAGAATTTGGGGCTCTCCCTTATCCACCCTCTCCTTTCCTTTGATTTTGTACTATTCTACCGTACTTTGATATTCATAAAAGCCCCATAAAACTTATGCGATCTATTTAACATCGAGCCATGGGTGCATTTTAATTCAGGTTGAACAGAACACCACATAGTTTTGGTGCTGGACCATAACCTATCACTGTTTCTGCAAATTAAAAAGAAAAAAGGAAAGAATTTTAAAAAAGGGATAAGGATGTGTTGACAGATGGCTCGAGCGATTAGCGGAGAAAACCTAGGTATATAGGCAGCTGCTTTCACTTAATGTAGCCATTTGAAACGTACAAATGAATGAAGCTTAAAGAAATTACTTAAGAAATTTGCAGATGACGAATGAACCTCATTTTAACAGAAAGTTGACCACCACCATCGTCTTGTCTCAAATGCTTAAATATCATGATAGTTATGAACACGTATAGCGCAATGTTAAAAGTGACTCGGTTATTGGTTCAATCCTGCGCACTGAAAGAGCTTAACGGTCGCTTTTACAGGCTCACGAATCACATTTTTTTGAGGGTAGAAAGACACTGCTCGGGTACATTGGTATACACTCGAAAGTGATTTCACAAGCAAATATATATTTAGGCACTTCTACGACACTACAAATAGAGTTGAATGCATCATTCGACACTGATCAGTTTTGGAAGCACTATCCCTTTTTTAACATTTCAAATTTCCGTTCATTTTTACCAATGATCGGCATTATTAGAAAGTCGAGGTTGATCTGTTTCCCGTTGTACGTCCAACTTCCCAATTTGAGAAAGCAGGTTTGCGTGTCGAACGGATAGTACGTGACGTCGACCTTAAGAATAAATGAAAGAAAACGCAGATTTTAGAACTAAGGTGGCGCGCTAGCACTAAACCGCGATAAGACTACCTTGCAAATGAATCTGAATATTCCCGGTGGATTTTGTTGTACTTCACCGTCATAATTCACAATAAATCGCGACGAATATGTCGAATCGAACGCTTCTGACACACTGAAACAGAAGTCGTTATGTTCAACGTGTGTTGCTCACTCAACAAAAATTTTAGTTAAAAAGATTATCATGAGAAGTTAATTAATACTAACAATAATGCTGAGATATTTGCAGAACTCCGGACCGCTGGTGTCTCCAGTGGGAAACGAACGCGCTTTTCGGGGCATAACGCGTTCACCAGCACGCCATGTGTGTCCTTCGTTTCGTCTGTTTCTCAGCTAGTTCTATCGATCACTGCCATCAGCAATCACCCGTCAACGGGATTGATCTGGGAAGCCCACATCGGCATTGAAAATCGGAAAACGGTAATAGCACGTTCGTTCCCCACAGCAGACACCTGCGGTCCGGAGTTTTGCAAATGTCTCAGCATCTTGTGGTTGTATTTCGCATAATACCCTGCCGTGAAAATTGAAGTAGGCAGAAGATAAAAAATAGAACAGAATGCTGAGATATTCAACACTATGGACCACAGTTGTCTGCGATGGGGATAGATTCCATTATTACCCACGGCCGAAAGAAACGCGTAACAAAGGGTCCGCGTGGTGAGGTGGTGAACACGTTAGCCACTGGTTTGCAAATATCTCGGCATTTTGTGGGTATTTTTCATGTTTCATATCACACCTTGCCACGAAAAAAGAATATGCAGTAAATAAAAAGTTCTCCATTAATTAACACTGCTTCGCGAGAGACTACAGTGGATTCCTTGAATATTCATCTCCCTATATCGTTCAGCACTCGGAATGTTTATGAACCAATCCTTTTTATTCCAGTGTGTTTCAGATCTATGCACTCTTATCCTTCTTTTTTGTGAGGAATGCTTTTTGATGGGTTTATAGCGCGTTGCTTCAATATGGTAGCCTTAGCTCTACTTGCAAAGAAAACGCAGAACGCGACGTTTAAGTGCAAATAATCTTTCTTGAACAGTGTATAAGGAAAGAGTAGGATACGCAGAACCCTAGTCACCTGTTGAATAATAGCACATCAGGTCTCCACAGCTTGAATGGTGCATCCTGCCCACCAGCAAACCTCACATCTCTGATACCACCGTATAACCGTGGATCCCAGCGAAGTTTGTAATCGTTCCAATGCTTTCATAAACGATTCATTCATTCTTTAATCATTTTTGAAGTGCTGTTATTGTTCTTGATGTTCTATTACTTACAAAATCGATATAGGCAAGGATTGACATCACTTGATTCTTTTCGTCCTGAAATTTGTCAAGTCTATTGACAGAGCCAAAGTAATTTCGAGTGCATAGAAGTTCGAATATTGTTATACGACTATTGCTAGTTACAAAACAATTAGTTTTTACCACGTCGAGAATCTGATTCAATAAAAATCGAACTTTCACGTCTAAGGCCATCGAACTGTTCTCCACTGGTCGCTCGAAATGATCGTAGTTCTAAATGTAGGAAGTTTTGAGCTAGGAATAATCATTTTTATCCAAGCAATCGGCCATTTTGTCCGCTGTTTTTTTCATGCTGACCTTTTGCCCATACTTTCAACATCCTATCTTTAGAGTCCACCACGCCCTTCTATGCCTTAAGATCTTCGGTTCCTTGAGTAGCACAAAACCAACAACGTCACAACGTAGCCCCTAACAAGCTACCAATTATGACTCGTTTGTTTGTTGCGTAGTTTGTGACGCGAAATGAAAAATGAAGCATAGAATATTCAAAACGGAAACGGCAGACATGAAAATTATAGATGATGGCACAAGATCCTAGTAGTCGTAAGTAAAGAGTGTGATTTGATATAGAAACAACGATTTATGTTCAAAGAGTCCTGTTCGTTGTCACTTTTGAATTATTACGAAAGCATAGGAAAAACAAAAAAGACCACGTCGCAAGCAAACCAGTTTTCTTCTTCGTATTTATGCTCATTTTTTGTAAACACATCTACAAGGTTTCTCTTTGGTTCTGTGTCGAAAGTCAGCACTTTATTCGGAAAGAGACAGATAATCCGTTCGACGTTGATTGATCCCTCTAGAGATTTCTTTGAAGTTTTCAAAGTTTAAGAGCTAAGGGTTTAGAGTTAAGAGCTCAGAGAGAGAGAGAGAGAGAGAGAGAGAGAGAGAGAGAGAGAGTTAAGCAATATTTCGCCACGAAACGAAGGACTCCGGAAGGTTAAAGGAGATATTGATCCTGGTAACGAATGAACGACAATGTTAACTAGTGACGACGCCTCAATAAGAGCCGATACACAGAATAGGGTGACTGCTCCGGTACAGCGGGAATGAACGGTAGACTACATTTCTATGCTGGCGTGAATCTCTTGCGTAATGATAATAGTAGCAGACGCGAGGTTGGTACAGATCTTCGTTGTCGTTGTCGTTGTCGTTGTTTTTGATGTTATTGATCGATGGCTGACGTTTCGGCGACTTCGCCTTCCTCAGAGCCTGGACGTACTTTATGTTAGAATACTTTTTATTATTCGGTGGAAAAGAAGGTTAAGGTATTAATGAAGATCAAACTTTCAAATAGACGCCATATTGAACAGAAAGGCCACTCACCGTGATGTTACGTGCGGGACTGGCCCACACGTAGTTCACGTGGAGTCGCGAGCAAGACACGCCCCGGGGTCAAAATATCATTTTGAAATAGGGCGCCAGGTCACGTGTGATAGTGAGGCATTCGTCCTTCCGGTTCATCTTTGGATTTTTGAAATTTATCCAAAACGCCTCAAGAGTTTTGCGCGTTGATGTTTTTGATTCCTGCGCTAGGATCCGCACATTCACTTCAAAATCATCGCCGTTGTGCTTTTGTGCCCTATGCGTACCTAGAG